CCCAAAATTCTCTAACGATACAAATAGAAGATTTCCTTAAACGTAATTATTAATGTAATATTGATAACGACAATGCAATTTCTCAAATGAGTCACCTAAATGCATTTCTTCGAAGTATGGAGCAAAAGAATACGGAAATTGTGAGTGTGGCATCGCAATAATTAATAAATAGAAATAACCAGCAAAAGTAAACATTTAGAAAATATAAGCGAAACAACGAGCAAGAAATACTATGCTTTTAGGATACGTAATAATTTAAAACGATAAATATATGACGGAAAGGATAACATAAAAACTTACAATAACATTGGGCCATCTAAGAACAGCAGGCTGGACAGGAACACCAGGAATGAAGGCACCTAGAAGATAATTATTAAATTTACAATGAACAATAGAAATAAACCTGATAATAACAGTTTACTAATTCAAATTAAAACACACTCACCGGTCTTGAATCGTATAAGACATGAACGATTTGTACATGTTCCTTCAGGAAAGATTACCAGCTGAGGCCAACCGTCTGAGGATTTACATCGCCTATTTATTTCAAAAATTGTATTTTGCCGAGATTTTGGGTCTTCTCGAGATACAAGAATAGGTTGTGTCATCTTAACTAGACAACCAGTGATGGATTCAGCAGTTTCTAATTTGCCCACAACTGAGTTCATACCCAACAGAACTACAATCAGGGAGTCGAGAAATGATGAGTGTGGAGCGACCACCAATATGGGGGCATCACAGCGAGGCGAACGTTTACCTTCAAATTTTACCCAGTGGAAGCTCGAAAAAAAGAAAACCGCTCGAGCGAAAATGATAAATAAGGGTAAAAGGAACCGTCTAAGCATTTAAATGTGAAAAAATAGCCAGTTACTTTCTATAGCCTGACATTGGTCTTGATTGTGCATCAAATGGAACGTTTCTGGTTGCTAGTGTACCAACAATCCAAGATAAAACAAAGAAGTTTCCTACGGCTATTAACCGTAAAGGCAGAACAAAGAATGACATTAAAATCATCTGAAAATAAATAATTCCATGGCATACCTTAA